TATTCTATACATATCACTATCTACCACCAACACCACTATCATATTCTATACATATCACTATCTACCACCAACACCACTATCATATTCTATACATATCACTATCTACCACCAACACCACTATCATATTCTATACATATCACTATCTACCACCAACACCACTATCATATTCTATACATATCACTATCTACCACCAACACCACTATCATATTCTATACATATCACTATCTACCACCAACACCACTATCATATTCTATACATATCACTATCTACCACCAACACCACTATCATATTCTATACATATCACTATCTACCACCAACACCACTATCATATTCTATACATATCACTATCTACCACCAACACCACTATCATATTCTATACATACCACTATCTACCACCAACACCACTATCATATTCTATACATACCACTATCTACCACCAACACCACTATCATATTCTATACATGCCACTATCTACCACCAACACCACTATCATATTATATGCATGAAAACAATTTCCAGCAAGGATAACAGAGCTGAAATAATGGAACCATGCATGAGGAGATTGCTTCAAGCCATAGAGAGACTTATGCAGACGACAAACCTTGCCAGCATACTCCTCCTCAGCCCGAAACCCGGGTGGAGGATCCATGTAGATCGTCTCAAGTAAGTCCCTATGGAGAAAGGCATTATTGACATCAAGTTGATGAAGGTGCCAAGAAGAGGCAGCCAAGGAAATAAATAAACGAACAGTGGTCAATTTAGCAACCGGCACAAACATAGCCCCAAAGTCCTTGCCAGGAACTTGTGTAAAGCCCTTAGCAACAAGATGAGCCTTATAGCGGTCCACTGTACCATCAACCAAGTATTTGATAGTAAAACCCACTTGCACCCAACAGTTGTCTCAACAGAAGGTAAAGAGACAAGATCCCAAGTGTGATTATGCTCCAAAGCAGCCATTTCAGTTTGCAGAGCGGCAACCCATTGGGGATTCTGGAGAACCTTAGACACAGACCGCGAGATAGAGACCGACTCAAGTTGGCCAAGAAAAGACCGATGAGAAGCTAAAGGGCGTCATAACATAAAAACTGGGAAATAGGGTGATTAGTACTACTAAACCAACGAAACCGATTAGGGGCACGGTGTTCACGGGTTGGATACCGGAAAGGAGCTGGAGAGGGAATAGTAGAGGGTGTACCTTAGCTTGAGGACGAAGAAGATGCTGGAGGGGGCAGAGCACGAGGGTGACGAGAGTATGTCTGTAATGGCAAAGGACTAGCAGGTGCAGATATAGGTGGTGATGAGGAAGGAGCAAAGGAATCAATGATAGGAACAGGGCGAGCACTCGGTGACACAGCAAGAGGCGGTGCACGCGAGGTGGAATCCTGAAACACAGGGTTACAACCCAAAAATGATATAGCTTCGCAAAATGTGACATCCATAGAATGATAAAAACTACGAGACAATGGATCATAGCACCTATAGCCTTTCGAGAGAGCGGAATAGCCCAAGAAGATGCATTTAAGAGACTTGTTATCTAACTTGGTCCGAGTTGGACTACGATCCTGAACAAAACAAGTACAACCAAACACACGAGGCACAAGAGGAAATAACACAGTATCTAGTCGAAGTAATTGAAAAAGGGCCAACCCATGAACAATCCGACTAGGTGTCCGATTAATGAGGTAAACAGCAGTAAGCATAGCCATATGCCAGTAGGACTTAGGGACATTCATCCCACAAAGAACACACCAGACAATAGACATAATATGACGGTTTTTACGTTCAACAATCCCATTTTGTTCAGGGGTGTAAGTACAAGTGAGTTGCTGCAAAATTCCCTGCTGATTAAGTTGTGAGCGAAATGAATCAGAGATGTACTCCCCCCCATTATCAGAATGAACATTGCATACAACGGTGTGGAATTGGGTTTTGACCATTTGGAGAAATTGAATAAAAAGTGGAAGCACATCAGACTTCTTTTTAAGTAAATAAACCCAAGTACATGTAGAATGGTCATTTATGAAAGTTACATAATAGCGATGCCCAGAAAAAGCCAAAAGAGGAGAAGGACCTCAGATATCAGAGTGAATAAGGTCAAACATACAGGAGACACGATACATGCGAGGAATATAAGAAGTACGAGTATGTTTAGACAGTTCACAAACAACACAATGAAACTGATGATCCTTGTAAGCTTTATTAAGTGACGGAAAAACTAAACATAAATAATTAAAGTTTGCATGTCCTAAACGAGCATGCCACAAGGCAAAAGTTTGAAAAGAAAACACATAGGAAGACGACTCAGATAACACAACTGCTTGCAGGCTAGAAGTGGTAGGATGAGAAGGGGGTGGGTCTCCGAAGTAGTATAGCCCGTCGAGTTCAAACCCCCTGTCAAAATCTTCTTCGAAGTCAGGTCTTGTAATAAACAATGAGTAGGTAAGAAAATAACATCACAATGAAGGTTTTTAGCAAGGTGACTCACAGAGAGAAGATTATAAGCAAAATGGGGGCACATCTAAGACAGAAGTAAGTGTAATATTAGACGACAAAGAAACATTACCCTTATGTTGGACATGTGAAATAGACCCATTAACAAGACATACAGTCTGAGCAGTAGTAGAAACAGGAGAGGATAAATAAGAAAACTCACCGTTCATATGATTATTGGCCCCAGAATCCAATACCCAAGTAGGTGCAGTGCGAACATGATGGGCTGTAGGAGTACCTGCAGCGAGTGTAGCAGTGGAAGGAACACTTGGAGACATGGTAGTGAATGAACCAAGTTGCTCTTGAAGGCCACCAATCTGAGATTGAAGCTGATGAAGATCAATAGGATGAGTTGGATGAGGAGTACTAGAGGTGTCTGCAATAACAACAGTATGGGGAGAGCTTGAAGGGCGTGTCCTTGCAAAGCGTTGCTTCAACTCAGGATGAAGCTTGAAGCACCGTGCTTGGACATGACCAGCTGCACCACAATGGTGACAAATAACCTTGTTACTAGAAGCACGAGAACTAAACTTGGCAACAAGAGCCTTCTGATCTGAAATGGAAGATGAGGCAGGAACAGAGGAAGGAAGCGGAGCCACCGGTTAAATCAATCGACGACGCTCCTCCTCACTGTCAATAGTAGCAAAAGCCTCGTATAAGGATGGCATAGGCGATGTGTTCAAAATCTGAATATGAAGAGACTCGAATTTAGGTTTTAAACCCATCAGATATTGTTAAGTGTGCTGGCGAGCAAGACGAGCAGACACAATAGAAGCGGCAACAGCTGGAAAATCGCTCAATGACTTATACTGTGTTGACTCCTCCCAGCGAGACTGAAGATACCCAAAAAATTCAGCAACGGTAAAACCCAAAACTTCCTGAGAGGCATGAGAAATATCTTGATAGAGCTCGAAAATCCTAGTATCATTGTGGGCATGTGCGTACATCTGGGTAAGAGCACTCCACAACCGAGGAACTGTATCACAGTACATAAACATGTTGTAGATGCGTTCTTCCATAGAGTTGAACATCTAACCAAGTAAGGTGCAATTGTCAATATCCCATTGAACCCACTTAGGATCATCAGCGGGAGGTTGTGTCTCGGTTTCCAGAAGCCATCCAGATTTGCCTCTACCCCCCAGGTAGAGACGTATAGACTGGCTCCAAGCCGCAAAGTTGCGACCATCGAGCAACACACTAGTAATCCGATGAATCGAAACATGGGAGGCCAAGGAAACATCTGAACGAGGCATAATGCTCTAAGTTTGTGTAACAAAGTTAGACATGCTGAAACACCACGAAGTCGAAGTAGCGGCGTCACATAAAAGAGATGCTACCGAACACACCGGTAGCCTAACACAACAGAAAATCAAACTAGAAAGTGTTTACCACATTAGCACATGAAGCCTAGAAGGGTAAAGAGAGAAGAACAACACCCAGGACGGGAAGCCGCACTAGACCCAAGGCAGGGAGGGCCTAGTCGGCACCTAAGGAAGCTGCAGCAGTGAGGAAAAGGGATTGCCGAGGGGCTGAGAAGGAAGAGGAAAACTTTCGGCTGGGTGGAGGGAAGAAGAAGGGCTGTCGGGTGGCTGGGTAGCTGGTTTAGGACTGCCGACAATAGAAGACAAGGGTGATGGGTGGCTAGGGTTTGGCTCTGATACCAAGAAAAGAGTTATAAAATATTAGCTTACGCTAATTTGGGTGAGACCATGTCTATATATAATCAATATAAGATACATGGAAAAAGGAATTAAATAATTACACAATCAAACTCTAAAATTAAATTCCTAAATTAAATATACAATATTCCATATTCAAACAATATTTGAGGTTAACTTTGACTCTGTATCTATTTTCTTGTCATGGATGAATTAATTAAACATATTCAAGATGATGTCTCATGGTATATGTTGTTCGCAAATGATATTTGCTCCCGTGGATGAAATTAATGAAGGAATTAACATTAAAATTAGAAAACTGGAGAGAAGTAATACAGTCAAAAGAATTTTAAATTAGTAGAAATAAACCTGAATATATGGCATGTAATTTTAGTGACATTAGAAGTAGAAATAATGGAGAAGTGAAGATTGAAAATAAGTAGATAACAAATAGTGAACATTTTTGTTACCTAGGATTGTTTGTTAAGGCACTGAAGTTTTTTAAATTAATTTTGTGACACAGTCGCACAACGTTTCAAAGGTGCATATAAGTTGCTGGATAGGAAGGCAATTAGCTCCTATTTATGAGTTCGTTGAACGGTGCCATTTTAAATCCGTATCAAGATTTTTGCCTAATCTGTTATAGCTCCATTCCTAATGATAATTTGGGTCTTCAAAATTGTACTGTAATTATGGACCACTGATAAAATGTCAGTGCCATAGTTGTTAGGTTGCATGTAAGTTACTGTTATACATTGAGGCTTTGTTGGTTTTTTCACTTTTTGGTCTGCATATTTCTCTCTCTTTGCCATGATATCAATATAGCACTCTCTTTCTTGTTTGAATATACAGATGACAGGAACAATTTGGAAAAGTTGACGCTTGCTGTCCTCTCACATTTGCCAACTGCTGTACTATATGTTCATGACCTTTCTGGTGAATGTGGGACCTCAGCTTCTGATCAGGTATTGTTCGCGTGTGTAACTTTTGAGTGAGTCAATGTAACTCATTAAACATCATGTGGTGTGGTTTAAGTAATCCTTTGGATGTTGGTTCACTCTTAGTGGGTTAACAATCATAGATAGGTGGTGGTTTGGATGAAGAATGGTATAAGCTAAGAAGCATGGATATGGATATGGATGAGGATGCGGATACAGATACGGATGCAAATACGAGACATGGCGATTTCAAATAAATGGGGACATGAGAATAAAATATGTTTTCATATATTTTTATTTGCTATCTAGATTAATATTACACCAACAAACAATCAATATTAATATAAACTAACACTAATTCTATTTTTTTTATATAAAAAAAATACTTTTAAATTAACACTTATAGTTTATATATTTTCTTATGGAGGATTCATTAAGTATTTAAATCTAAGAAACGAAATAATAAACATTCAATATTCATCAAAAGCACTGGATAAAATGAGAAAAAAGACAACTAGGCATGTCCTTAGTGTGTTCCCGAAGTGTCTCCAGCGTGTCCCCTAAAAATAAATTAATTAAATAAGGGGACATGCCATGTGTGTCCCATACGTGTCCCCGAAGTGTCCATGTGTCCCTGAAGTGTCCATGTGTCTGACACGGATACGGCACTTGTTTTGAAGTGTCGGTGCTTCATAGGGTATAAGTGCTTTGCTTCATGCCAGGACTGTCCAAAATAATGTCTTGTTTAGGTTTCATTGTGTACACATCACCTGCAACCACATGCATGACACTAAGGCTGTGTTTGTATCATGGATTTGGATAGGGAAAGGAAAATGTGAGGGAAATGTAAATGAAATATAAGCTAAATTTTCTCTCCATTGCCCTTGCCTTTTCCTTTCCCTTCCAAATCTCTACCAAAATCCACGATCAACCTAAAGGAAATGAAGGACAACACATGTAGATGTGAACATAAACATTTTGTTTTCTTTTCTGCACATTAGGCTATGCTTGGATTTTGCTTCATTTCATATTTTTCTTATATGTACATTGAATGCTTAATTTCTTATTTTTTTCTACTCCTTAGAAAGAACACTAAGTAAAGGGAAAAGAATATTTGAATCACTTTGGATTGCTATAAATGTTGCATTTTAGAATGAAAGTGATCATGTTTCAGAACTTACATTCCAAAATCTTGTTAAGAATATTTGGTTTTTTTTGATAACTTTGTGCAAACTCTTATGTTATGTCATTGCTGGGAAGATTGATGAAATGAAATGAAAACATGGAATCTTTTAACAGGTTGAGGTGGGTATGGAAGCCTAATGATTCCAAGTTCTGTTTCGTATGTATAAAATTCTTAATGAAATAGTTAAAAGGATTGGTTGTCCTAATTTCATCTCTGATCATTTTCTTTAAGCTGGAAAATTCTCATTTAACTTGTCGCATTTTTTTTTTCTTCCTTTCCCTGCATTATTTTTGGAAGTATCATTGATGGGTCTCTGATAATGGATGATGCAGTTTGTCATATACAAGGAAATAAGAGAGAGGTTCAGTAGCCATCTTTGGATTGATGTTGTTTCGAAGTGTGACTTGCTTCAAGAATCACCTGTCATTTTCATCACAGAAGATAGCAATGCTGATCATCTTGAGCTGGCAAGGTATCGGAAAATGGGACCTGATGGAGCCATTCATGTGTCAGTAAAGAGTGAAGCAGGGCTCAATGAGGTTGCCATTCTATAACCCTTTTTTCTCTGAACTTGAATTATGTATTTGTTGTTTTATGGTAAACGGGACCTTGCTTGCCTGCGTTTATCATGCATTGGATCTAACTGGCCATACTAATTTTAGTGTGTTCCATAATAACACATTTAAGGGAAAACAATTGTAGTGTACCATCACAACACAACAAATCTAAGGGAAATGGCTCAGCTGTCCTATCTTGTCAGGATCTGGAATGAGTCTGTAGAGGGAATACCAAGTTGGGTTGTTCATATTCCTCCAAATATGTGCCACCTGTTACATCATATATGCATGTGAAAATTTCTAACATATTATTCATTAATTATTCATTATCTAACATATTAGTCATTTTAATTATTCATTATTCATTATCTAACATATTATACCAAGTTGGGTTTTTCAAATGAATCACTAATTATTCATTATCTTACATATTAGTCATTTTAATTGTTCAATAAGTCACTAATTATTCAGGGTCATTTTGGTGCTATGAACCTCAAAAAAAATAAAATAAAAATTCTCTTTTTGACCTATGAACTTCTAGGTGTATAAAATTCTTAAATCATGTATCTTTATTTAAATGACAAATAATATAAATATTAAAACATCAGGAAATAGAAGGCATTAATTTCAAAAAATTTAACAGAAAAATAGGACAAAGGCTGAAAGAAAGAATAGATAAACGAAATATGAAGCAAATAATGGTTGTTTTTATCAAATAAGAAACATAACTCTGATACACATCCAAAATAAATTAAAAAATAAAAATAAATTTCTTTGTACTTTTAATAGTCCCTAGTGTAGGTAGTAGTTGACCCGTGGTCAAACGGTCACTAGGGAGTGGAATCACAGACACTGAGAGCAAAGAGAATGTTCGGGTGAGAGACAAAGCAGTCTATTAGAGAGAGAGAGACACGAACATCGTAAACACAGAATGGAGTGTGGAGTTTAGAGATGACCTCTCTAACCTTCTGTGCCAAAAAGTTCTTATGATGTATGGGATACTACCTCCTATTTATAGGAGGATCACATGATCCATAACAAATTTTGTGGATATTTTGGAATACTATTAGCATATGCCTGCTTGTGTCTCAGTGTATCAATCTATTTGGATTTACCTTGATCCTGAGCAACTGTATAGGAGGCTTTATGGTGCAGTATCTCTCTCTCTCTCAAATGGACCAGCCAAGGGCAGTGTCACCTGTAGGGTGACATACTACTGAGCGACACCTCCGTCTCTAGTCACCAAGCCACGTGATCCCATGGTGATGTGGCACTACCCTGAAGAGCTTAGCATACACCATAGTGCCTCCTTTGACTTGGGTATTGAGAGATTGGTGTGGGCAACCTACCGCTGCGGGTATGGAAGTCATGCACGACATAGATTCCTTAATGGGATGAGCCCACTTTCCCGAGTAGATTACTCAGACACTCTTGTGGGGGTCCCAATGTATATCGTTGGTCTTGTTAGGATTAGTCTACCCATGTGATAAAGATGGGTCCCATTCAATTATTAGGTTGGTTTATACATATATTTGGGTTAGAATAGTAGAGTCCAAAATCTATTAGGAATGTGTAAGATTTGGTTTACCTAATTGAATGGAACTAAGATTCTTATGAGTAAACTATTATAAATAGTCATGTGGACTAAGATTTCTTTGAGAGATATTGAGAGACTGAGGTGAGGGAAAAAATAGAGATGTAAGGGGTGAGAAAAAATACCGTGCGTGGGCACAGGTTGAGCTAGGGCTCGACTACCCTTGAGCATGGGGTTCGGATAGTGGTGTGAGTTTTGAGTATTTTGGCTATTTCACATGTATTCTCTAGTTTATACATAGTGAAAACTCGCTCTCCTGTAAATGTAGGCAATTTGGGCTGAACTACGTAAATCTATGTGATTCTTTTTTTTTTTGGTGTGTGCGTGGATGTGCTTTCGTTTGTGTTGGTGAGATGTGGAATAAATCCCTATAGGTCTGACATGTACAGGACACATCATGCAGCTCATGTGGAGTCAGGGATATCCACCCTGAGAATGGCTTATGCTTCATTTCTTGATGACATTCCTTGATGTTTTGATCACTAAAATAAATTTTGAATTTTCACTCCATGTTCATTGTTGTAAAATTTTCATGACCGGTGGCTTCCCAATTCATCTAACATCTAACGTGGAACAATTGTTTATACTTTGCAGCTGAAGGATAGAGTGCATGAGCTGCTGGTTTTGCAGTCAGCGCTGATCAAAAGTGAAAAGAGCAACCAAGAAAACCAAGAAAATCAAGTTGTTCCTAAAAAATCGTTTGTTTAATGATGAAAATACCAACTTTTGGCTAAAAATTGTTACAAAAAGTGACAAATTGTCATTGCAAACAGACTATCCAAGAACATGGCAACTTGGTTGAAATTCGGACGCAGGCTAATGAACTGGTTCAACCTCTGCTCGGTAATGCCAATACTTGCATGATGGTTCGAGTTCTCCTTATGCAGCAGATTTGATGACAGGGCATTGAGGTAAGGTTTATACATATCTTAGCATGTCAGAAGTTTTGGTTTGTCTGGGGATCTTATTTTATTTTTAGCACAATTATACAGAAAGGGTGTCAGGTTATGCAGCATTTTAGTGGCCTTATTTTGGCATTGTGGAGGATTAAAAGAATGATTTATGATTATGTCAAATATTTAGACATTAAGGGCATGTTTGATTGGAAGGATTAAAGCATGGGATTAGGATTATTAATCCGTGGGCCCAATCATCCTATGTTTGTTTTGACATTTTGGTTTAGGACTATTAATCCAATGGATAATTAATCCAACAAATTTGTAGGATTATTAGTAATGGGGTAAGGGTGGGATAGTTAATACCACACTAATTTGATAGGATTATTAATACCTCACTATTAGTATTGTGAATCAAACATGGCCTAAGAGTACTTCAAGGTAAGTTGAAAATTTGTTTCTAACATCAATGATTCAGTGGAATTAACAACATTGCTGGCTGTGGTAGGATGTGAGTATTATAGGCTGATTTTGTGGAAATAATGCCATTTGATCTGTCTTCCTCCTGTGTTTGATTGGCTGATTAGGTTGGCTGGAGTTATGAGTACAGAGTGGATTAAGTGATGAGATAACTATTGTGGTGGTATTAATTGGTTGAAATTAAATCTATGAAACTATGTAAAATTCTCATTATATAAAAGTGACTTTACCCACTAATAAAGTTTGATTATTTATCAAAAAAAATAAATAAATAAATAAAATAAAAGTGACTTTTAAGTTTTTGTTAAGTAGAGGTGATAAAATCTTTTCGCCTCAAATCCCGTGGGATTGAATTAGCAATCACACCCCTCATGGGAATGCTATTTCCACCCTTGGAGGTGTGATTCATGGATTCATAGTCCCAACGACTGTTAAATCTCAAGTCAATTCTTTCCAACCAAACATAGATCAATTTATTTAGTTTTGATTCCTTGCATTTGTCATTTTTTAATCATATTATTCTTAGATTGTGATCATTTGCTGTTGCATATTGTGGCTCTGTATTGAATCTTGTATAAATAATGTATTTGCTTAAGTTTCGTTTGGCATTGGTTATGGTAGTCAATTTTTTTGTGTTGGGACTTTTTTAGTCTTGTTTGGTTTTTGTTTTTGGATTTTTTTTACTTTTGTGAGAGAAAAAATGCAATGATTATGGTTTGGATGTGACATTTTGTTTTATTGGCTTTTATATAGCTTATTTTGTCTTTTTATACTTTTTTTAATTCCAAAATGTTTACCAAATGAGGACTTAGTTGACTTGCACTAATGTTTGGAATTTTTATCTTATCACATAGGCCCTTGTAACTCTACATGATTTGTGCCTAGTGTTAATATATATATATATATATTCATGCTAGTCCTAAGCTTGGCAAAAGAGGGTAGGGGTGGTGGAGAATTAATGAAATTTATAGTTACTCTTCATAAATATGGATCTTAATGTTGTGATTGGATCTTGAATTTGTGGAGAGATTCATAAGGGAAAAAAAAGAAGAAAGGAAATGAATGAAATTTAATTTAATTTTATTTTTCCACCTTTTTTGTTTTTTTGGCCTTTATAAATTCAAGATCCAAACATATTTTAGTTGGGACAAAATAGAGACATTGAGAGGTGTGATTAACCCACAAAAATTGGGACAAAAGCTTGTAAAATTGAGTTGAGTAAGAAATATTAGACCAGTGATGGCAATTATGATGATTCAAGTATTATTAGTTCCATTGGTTATTTGTTCTTGATTTTAAAGCCAGATGTTTGAGTGTAAGGAGATTACAAGGGTATAACACTTGAGCGAGCCTAAAATTGGACAAATTTGAAGCTGAGACTGAATTATTTTAAGATTTGGATAAAATATTTTTGAATTCAGAAATCTGAATTGAATTTGGGTCTGACTTGGGTAAATACATTGGTCAACTCAAAACTTGAATTATATGTATAAATATATAATATAAAAATATTAAATGTACTTGTAAAATGTTTGTCTTTGTTAGGGTTGTAATCGGTTCGGGACGGTCGGTGTTTAGGTAAAATTTTGCACCGAACCGATAATGTCGGTTTTATTATATTGAAAATCAATGCAAACTAAATTTTTGGGAGCTTTTTTGATAAATCTATTTTCTAAGAGTTTTATTCCATCTAATCCATATTTTTTTTTGACTATTCCATTAGGTCCAATTTGAGATAAGAAGACCAAAATACCATTTTCATCTACTTATGTTCCATTTAGTTCACATTATTTTCTTATATTTCAATAAGTCCTATGGGTGACATAATTACTAAAATACCCTTAATGTGAATGTTCACACCGTCAATATAAATGTTTATATCGTCAATGTGTAGGGGCCCGGCTCATATCGATCCTTGTGGGCGCCCGGAAAAATTCAAGTCGGGCCGGGCCGGCCCACAAGCCAAAAAAATAGGTCCGACTCGGTCCGTTGATAATATGAATATTCACATTGACAAGTTAACATTCACATTGATAAGAGTGTAAAATTGGCTTGCGGCCCGTGGGCGGCCCAAAACCAGCCCGTCGCCCGGGGCGGGCCCGGGCCGGCCCGTTCACAATATGAATATTCACATTGACAAATTAACATTAACATTAACATTGACAAGAGTGTAAAATTGGCTCATGACCCGTGGACAGCCCGAAGCCCTAGCCCGGGTCGGGGCGGGCTCGGCCCGGCCCGTTGACAATGTGAATATTCACATTGACATGTTAACATTCACATTGATAGGAGTGTAAAATTAGCCCACGGCCTGTGGTCGGCCCGAACCCGTCCACGGCCCGGGGCGGGCCCGGCCCGGCTTGTTGACAATGTGA